TATGTACTTTCCTAAACCCTAAATGTGACTCTTAGAATGACACTTCTAAATTTCTACATAAATAATATTTTGACACTGATTATACAGTCCTCTTTTATTCCAATACACGCCAAACAAAACAAACCTCCGAGCAGTTGCTAAGAGAAACAAACTATCTAAAAAAATACTCCCGCGAAATGTCAATGTGAAGTTTGTAAAAGATGACGAAAAATGTACAAAAATCGTTTTGGTTGTTCAAATCATGTTCAAATGTACATTTTAAATAAAAAATCGTTCATATCTTTCGACTTCATTTTAGAAAAGGTTGTTTATAAAAATTATTTTTATATTGTTACAACAATCTTTTCAAATACCACGCGAGGTGAGTTTTTTTTTGTTAACATTTTACTGTTTCCTTACAAATTATGCAAATTTTCAAATAACTAAATTTTCCCAAAAAATGTTCATCTCTTGAAAATATAATTCCTATGTCACATAACCCAGCTTTCGACAAAGCGAATTGATGGAATTTTATTATTAATAAAATTGATCATTCCACTCATGTGTAAAAAACACCATTTGCAAACATAAAAATTATAGTTTGCAGTCGGCTAAATAGGTTGGAACAGAAAGTGATAAAAAAAAGAGTTTGAAACTTTTAAATATCCAATAATGTTGTTTTTCTCTCTCTAAACATTTTTTAAATTTGTATTGGTTGTTATGGTATAATGAATATCGAAAAACATATTTTAGCCTTTTAAATAGGTGGTAACTATTTGTACCACCTACATTTTTTACGGTACATGCAGGTATGTAACGCTCAGGAATATGCTAAAATATTTAAATAAATTTGAAAGTTTGAAAACAAATGTCAAAAATCCGCTTACGAATTATTAAGACCGTCCCCTGCCTGACCCCAAATTTTCTAAAATATTTATTATTAAATTGAGGATTTATTTTAAAACCAAATTTATTTATTCTTAATACAATTCTAATTTATCTCAAACACTTATGTACTAATTTACTTTCACAATACTTAATCTGCTCACAGCGATATCTTAACTTGAACTGACCATTAACAGCAAACGTGGACTATTTATATAGGTGCACATGTTCCCTTTCTCGAATTTTTCGCGCATTTGCTAGAACTTTAAGAACCAATAGAGCCAGAACATACATCGGTGTATCTACCAAATAAACTGAACGGTTCCTTCGACTGTCGATTACAAAAGATTGTGATTTAATTTACAAACACTTTCATAGGATGATGAAGGTAAAATAACATTAGATACAAAAAAATATTAGAATACAATAACGTTTTTCAATAGTTTTTTTTTTTTAAATATAACATAATGAGATGAACAATCGTGAACAAGAACTTTTTTATTATTAAAGATTACACAGAAATAAAAAAAAAGTGTTCAGACTTGCCGGTCGGTATTTAAAAAAATACCCATGTTAACTCCAAGTTTTACAACATGTTTTGAAATAATGGAAATATGTTCAGATATTAAAAACAAAAATGCTGCTGGTTATGATGATATTTCTATTAGAGTTATCCTAAACCTTCCTGAATCAGCAATGTTAGTCCTTGCTAGTCTGATCAACCAAAGTTTCGTCGAATCAAATTTTCCGTCATTTCTTAAGGCCAGTGTTATTGTTCCCATACATAAAGGCGGCAGTAACTACGATCCTTCGAACTTCAGGCCTATATCTCTCATTCCTACAGTGGCCAAAATTATTGAAAAAGTTGTAAAAAAACGTTTGATTCATTATCTAGAAACTCACAAATTGCTGGAAACACAACAGTTTGGTTTTCAAAGGAACAAAAGTACTTCTGATGCGATATTTTCTTATCTTGAACATGCTTATTCTAGAATTAATGTTGATGATTCTGTAGCGGCGATATTCTGTGATTTAACTAAGGCGTTCGATTGCGTCAATCATACAGTACTGTTGGATAAACTTCGAGTTTACGGGATCAAAAACGGAGCGCTGAGTTGGGTAAAATCTTATCTTTCAGAACGTAAGCAAATGGTAAGAGCGTCTCCGGATTCTCAAGTTTTAGATATTAGTTGGGGTGTCCCTCAGGGTTATGTGTTAGGTCCCATTTTATTTCTCCTTTATGTGAATGACTTAGCTCAACTTGAAATTGCAGGTACTTTCACTCTATTTGCAGATGATACTACGATTTTATGGCACAGCAATGACACTTCTGTCCTATACAACACCATATCCTGTGACATTAAGAAAATCAAAGCATGGTGCGATGCCAACTATTTGCGTCTTAATATGGGAAAAACTAAAATGCTAACCCTTAAATGTTCCCTACCAAATATTCAGTTGGGAAGTCATATTATTGAATATACTGACACAATAAAATTTCTGGGAATTAATTTAGATAATAATTTGAAATTTAGAAACCATATAGAATTGCTAAACAGAAAACTTTCTTCTGGATGTTTTGCAGTCAGAACTGTGGCAAAAGAACTAGGTTTTAAGGCAGCAAAAAGTGTGTATTACGCCCTAGTAGAGTCCCATTTGAGATATGGAATTGCATTTTGGGGAGGTTGCAGCCGCGAATTATTCAATACTGTTTTTTGTCTGCAAAAGAGAGCAATACGATTTTTGAACAAGCTTGAGTCATGTCAGCCACATTTTATTAGACATGAAATTTTAACATTAACATCGTTGTTCATTCTTGAAACCACTTGTATTATACATAAAAATAAATCGAAATATGCCCATACTAACGCTCGGCTAACGCGACAAGTTGACAACCTGCGGTTGCACATACCCAAATCTGAACTGGTAAGGGGCTCTTTCATTTATAATGGGATTAAAATGTACAATAAGTTGCCAAATGATATTAAATCGACGGAAACGGTCACAACATTTAAAATACTGCTTAGAGATATGTTGATGACAAAAGCATATTATGCTTTGACGGAATTTTACAATGACTCTTAAATCGTTGTGACTGTTTGAACGTACATGTTTTTGTATTTATATAATTTTATCGATGTTGTGTTACGTATTTGTATTTGTAATTAACCTCTAATTTTATATTTAACGTTTTTATACAATTTTTAAATTTTTATGCATGTAATTGTTAGTACTACATAATAATTATATTTATAAGTGTTTGTCTATAAGTTCTTGTAGCTTTGACAATAAACATATATTGATTGATTGATTGATTGGACATATGTATTCCCATTTTTCGACGCTGAATCCGATTCCGAGCTTAGAAATGGCCCTCCACGTCTGGAATTGGCCCCAGGGTCCAAAAATGGACTATATGGCCTGGAAGCAGGGAGAGTCAGGATTGGCCAAAATTGAGTTCCTGAGGGTTTTCGAGGTCGCAGATCTCAATTATGATGTTCAAATTGAACCACAGCCGATGATCATTATCTGCGGGGACTCCCAAAATTAACGCGGGTAAGGAGAGAAACTCGGCACTCGGGAGTTTTTTGGGTTGCTAAATTCAAATATAACATCGGCGAACACCCTCTGGACACCTGGTGCGCTGGAACCGGCACGTGGACGTCATCTTCGAGAAGTTTCTTGCCAAGATTGTCAAAAACAAGCCAAAAAATGTTGTATTTTTTGGGGCCCTTGATCTAAATTTCCCGTCTAAAACCTAGTGCACCGAAATGTCGTCTCCGATGATTCTCCAGACACAATCGCTAAAGATAAACCGAAAATCGTCATGGGGGTTTCTAGGCACGCGGAATCCAAATTCCATCACGAAAACGTACCTCCAGAGACCTGGTCTACCGGAACTCCGGCCTAAACGTCATCTGAGAGGGTTTTCCTCACACAATCGAGACTACTGTGTCTTATTAGAGATCCCCGTATACTTCACTGTATCTATATACTTCCGTATGAAGAAGTACAGTCAGGGACTTTATATTGTATTGTTTAAACTACTCTTTATACTTAACAATCGAGTGTAAAGGAATACATGGGTAAAGGATAGACGCATTAGAATCGGTGGATGGGGAATTCGGGATCTTTTAGATACCGAGGAAAACTTATCACATAGGAGTAATTCTTGAATTAAGGCCGTAACCGAGCGTGATGAAACCATCTCGACGTCAAATCTATTCGCAGAGTAGAAGACCATTGGCTTCACTCAATTTTCATGAGAATATCACACGATTACTACGTCTCAAACACGACTTTCCAGACCTTAAGGAGTCGTTTTCCCGGTCCCAAAGGTGAAATTCCAGTTGGCCATAAACTTTTCGAGCATAGTCTGAGTTCGAGAACTAGGACATAAATAAGGACATAAAAATACCACTGTAGCGATTGCAACGTCCGAAATACAATTTTCCGGCCTCTAAGGGGCCATTTTCCCGGTCCCAAACGGGGAATTCTAGTTGGCCATAAACTTTTCGAGTACAGTCTGAGTTCGAGAATTAGGACATAAATAAGGACATAAAAATACCACTGTAGCAATTGCAACGTCCGAAATACAATTTTCCGGCCCCTAGGGGGCCATTTTCCCGGTCCCAAACGGGGAATTACAGTTGGCCGTAAACTTTTCGAGCACGGAATTCACTCCAGAATTCAAAAGTACATAAATATACCACCAATGCCATTGCGACGTCCGAAACACGATTTTCCTGCTCTTACCGGGCCATTTTCCCGGCCCGCACGGGGAATTCCAATTGTCCAAGAACTTTTCGACCACAAACCCGACTTTGTCTTTAGAATGCACCTTCAACCACGCCTCATCTCAGAATCCACCTTTCAGGCCATATAGATGCCATTTTTGGCCCCTGGGACCAATTCCAGACGTGGAGGGCCATTTCTGAGCTCGGGATCGGATTCAGCGTCGAAAAATACATGGGAATACATAATATATGTCCGACCGCCAAGTCTGAACACTTTTTTTTATTTGTGGGGCTGTGTTATTAACGTAGCTGTGTTCTTATTGTAATCGGACCCTAATGTGTCACTTTCCTAAGTGGTCGTAGGAAAAGTATATATAGTATATAATTATAAAATGTTACCTTCTTTCGTGCTGAATCGTATGACGTCAGTTTCGTTCACTTTTAAAATTACATCTCCAACTTCTACCTGTAACAATAAAACATGATTAAATACGTTTTACTCTAAAACAAAGTAATATAAAATTTATCTACTCGTATTGTTTAGTTACGTAATTTATTGATATTTAAAGCGTGGTTTATTACAGAACATTTTTATCGTTATTGTCATTATTTTGAATTTTTATTAGTAATATATTAGTGAGTGCGTTACATCAGGCTTATATATTATTTTTAGTCTAACCATAATGAAAATGATCCTTATTAGCAATAAAAATTAGACTAGAGGTAATGATTTTCGTCTCTAGGGACCCTATAGAATAATACGCAATATAAGAAGTGATCCAGAAAAATTTTTTCGAAAGTAGGCCTTGGAAAAATTCACGTATTTTCAACGATCAAATCTTCTTTTTAACTGTCAGTTTGGATTTAATTCGCAGCATATTTCTACAAAGAAATACAGAAATAATATCTAATATCGGAATTTGAATATAAATTGGCATAACTGTTTATATCACTCAAGGTTTTGACCTGACCTTCCGTAGCGGAAACTAACAAATTTAGAGAAAATAGTTTTGAGTAAAATAGATATGCAACGGCTCCCAGCTCTGAGCAGGTCCGTTTTAAACTGCCGCCTTAATGTTGGTAAAATTTAATTTTAATTTAATTTGAATCGCCAGTATCGACTCATCTTTTCTAAGATGTGAAATGTCAGAAAGTTCAGGACTACTCTAAAATCCATTAATTTCCAAAAACAAAACATTCTCAATAAAATAATTTACTCGTTTCATCTCCACCTCTACTATATATAGTCAAGTAAAACTGAACTTTGATCTTCGAGAGTGTTTATGGGTATCGGCGTTGTGTCTATCGGTAAAAGGGCTGATTGTCCATATCCTTGCCACTGCTACACTCAGAAGTAAGAAGAGGACAGGGTGTGACCCAATTGAAGTGTCTGCGGTAAATAATGCAACCTGACCCGCCGAAAACGAAAGGGTAAAGGGAAGGCAATCAGAAAGGATTTTCAAACGAGCCAATATCGTGTGTTCGCTGATTAAAATTTAAAATTTTAGAGGGTACAAGTGTTCTCCTAAGGCTACTTCGTTTCGGTACTTTACGAGGAGCACTGTTAAAGTTTGAGGAAAATGTAAAACAAAATTTAAATTAAGTTTTGTAAACTGCTTTATTGCTTTTCAAAATATCCCCCTTTTGCATCCGATACTGCACACTTTTTATGCACAAGTTTTCCATTAGACCTCCTGTTTACTGCAAAAAAACACTGTTGGAATCAGTTTTACATAATTAGCGAAGCGAGCTAGCATAAGATTCGATCAAAATTCGGATAAAGCATTTATTTAAATATACCTGTAAAATTTCAGCGCTTTACAACTTTATGTTTTCCGAATTTCTTAAATCTACAACCGCGCCTTTAATCGCGTCTCAGTCATGCAGTATTCGCATTAAAAATACCCAAACATGAACTATCTCGGACAAAATATTTGAGAAGGTGAGTCATATGCATGATCAACACTGTTGTCAATGAATGAAAATTCCGACAGAGTTAGCATAGGCGGCGTATCAAATACCAAATAATTATTTATTATTTATTATTTATTAGGAATTTGTTAGTAAACTTTATTAAATTTGTTTGTCAACATCTTTATTTAAACAAAGATGATGCGTTAAATACAGGGTGTAACTAAATAAGTGTAAAACATTTTAGGGGGTGATTCCTCATCGAAAAATAGATAGGATCTTTCATATAAAGAAACTTCATTGGAGCATCCCTTGTTAAGAGGGGGTATATAAAATTTGTTTAACAATTTTTTTCACAAGCACTAAACAAGTTACAATATCGAAATTAACCTGACATTTTCTACTACCAAAAAGACACTTAGCCAGTAATTTATTTGGTTAACCCCATGGTTGTAAGGGGTGGAAAACGCAACCCCTAAAATTTCGTTCCAACGTAACTTTTTGTCTTATTATTTGTTTACCATTTAAAAATTTATTTCCGCCTGTTTCATTCTAAACAAAAAATGTCTCTTGAATTTTTTGCCCAAAATAAACCAGTTCGCAGCAAAAAATTATTTTACGAACAAGATAGATATCGCCATAAAACGAAAATACGAAACTAATTTATCTAGTAGGCCGCTATTAGCGATACTGACAATTACATTGAAATCAAGCCGTCAGTTTGTAAATTTTTGAAATTGAAGTAATACTAATTGTGTATTGTTGTTTTGTTCGTAATTTGTTACTTTAATAATTCACTTGTTATTAAAATGGCATACACAAATGAGGAAATGGCTGATATGCATTACGTTTACGGTCTGTCGCAGGGGAATGGGTTAGAAGCTTCTAGAAGATATGCTGAAATGTATCCTCAACGGCAGCATCCTTCACATATAATATTTGCCCGACTTCATTAACAATTACGAGAATATGGTTCATTCAACAAAAGAACGCACGATTGTGGTCGCCATCGGGAAGTAAGAACACCACAGCTTGAGGAAGCACTACTTAATTTTATTGAAGAAAAACCTACTACCAGTACTAGAAAGATTGCTTTCCAGCTAAATGTTGATCATATGACGGTATTTCGAATTTTAAAGGAACATCTCTTATACCCTTACCATCTGCAACGAGTGCAGGCACTGTTACCGCGAGACTTTCAGAACCGTCTTGAATTTTGCAATTGGATGCTGGAAATGATTAGAAGAAATCGTGACTTTCTGAAGACGATCGAAATCACAGACGAATGTAGTTTTTCTCGGGACAAGATTATTAATTTTCATAATTACCACATATGGGTTGATGAAAACCCTCACGCTATTGTCAAAACTCACCATCAAGAACACTTTTCTCTTAACGTGTGGGCCGGAGTTATTGGTGATTATTTAATTGGGCCTCATTTTCTACCTCCTCGATTAAATGGTGAGGCATACGTTCAATTTGTAAGAGAAGTGCATCCCGTACTGCTGGAGGAAGTTCCTTTGGGCGTCAGAAGGGATATGTTTTTTATGCATAATGGGGCTCCCGCCCATTTTAGTCAAGTAGCACGTCAGCATTTAACTGAAACATATGCAAATCAGTGGATAGGTCGAGGAGGACCACAGAATTGGCCCGCTCGATCCCCGGATCTCAATCCTCTCGATTTCTCTACTTGGGGCCATTTGCAGCATTTGGTTTATCGTACTCCTGTTCGCGATGTAGTGGACTTAAGAAACCGCATCATCGATGCGTGCAGGGTAATTAGGGAGACTCCAGGATTATTTGAGCGAATACGTGGCTCAATGCGCCGACGTCTAGACGCATGCGTAATGTCTGAAGGTAGACATATTGAACATTTACTATGATTTCTACATGTTGTATGTTTTGTTATTAATAAATTAGTTTTGATTATTCCCCTTTTTAATCATTTAATGCAGGTAGTAACTACAAAATAACAATAAATCCAGTTCGCATTTATGACGATGTATCTCTGTAGTTGTTCGTAAAATAATTTTTTGCTGCGAACTGGTTTATTTTGGGCAAAAAATTCAAGAGACATTTTTTGTTTAGAATGAAACAGGCTATCGGAAATAAAATTTTAAATGGTAAACAAATAATAAGACAAAAAGTTACGTTGGAACGAAATTTTAGGGGTTGCGTTTTCCACCCCTTACAACCATGGGGTAAACCAAATAAATTACTGGCTAAGTGTCTTTTTGGTAGTAGAAAATGACAGGTTAATTTCAATATTGTAACTTGTTTAGTGCTTGTGAAAAAAATTGTTAAACAAATTTTATGTACCCCCTTTAAGGGGCTGTATCTTAACAAGGGATGCTCCAATAGTTTCTTTATATGAAAGATCCTATCTTTTTTTCGATGAGGAATCACCCCTTAAATGTTTTACACTTATTTAGTTACACCCATACGTTTTTGATAGTTTTCAAGAAATGAAAATATTTATTCCCTTATATTTATTCCCTAATGACTTCGTTATCTGTGTTTAATGGTTTTAAAATGTGTTTCAAGTAAATAAACGACAGACGGATTACAGATTGAATATTGTCAGCACAGGCACAAAGACAGTTGAAAACTAACTTTCGACGAAGTTAGATTTGTATCGCTTTAACTATTTACGATAATTATTTTATATTTTATAAACACTTTTTTGTATAAGTGCTCTTTTCTGATATACGAGTAGGTGTTCCTGTTTGTGCTTTACAATTTGGTAGTGGTAGTGCATATTCGAGGAGTTATGTTTATTGTGTAGTATATTAGGTAGGTACTTTAAAAGTTTATTAAATAGTAAAATATTGATGTCTTTATAAATTTAATAAAAACAATTTAATAGTAGAATTATATTGTTACAATAGTAATGGATTCAGAGGCAGGTCCAAGTGAAACCCAATTACGTCGGCGAGAGCCCTTATCAAAGGATGAAAAGAACATTATATGGAAAGTGTATGAAAGGCTGAAACAGACACTTCCTACAAATGAAGCTGTAAACCGCAGTTCTTTTTTAACTGGAGTATCTGTTGAACATATTGTACGCAAAAAGACAAAAAAAGGCTCCTTAGAAGCCCTTAAAACGCATACCCGTGGTCGAAAATTGTTGAAATTGGACGATAACCAAAAACAAATCATTCGAAGAACTGTACATTCTTTTTTTTTTTCGGAAACAAAGCCCCAACACTTAAAGTTGTTCTTACGAAATTAAGAGAAAACAAAGAAATTACATTAATGAGCCGTGAAACTTTACGAAAAATTTTATGGGGCCTAAAATTTCGTTTTGTCAAACGGTGTAGGAAATCAATTTTAATTGAGAGGTCAGATATAGTGTCCTGGCGACGGCGTTATTTACAAAATATTAAAGAGTATAGAGCCGATAAAAAAAAGATATACTATCTCGATAAAACGTGGGTGAATGCTGGACACACGGTATCTAAGATGTGGCAAGATACTTCTGTAACTAATCATCGTCAAGCTTTTATAAAGGGATTATCTACAGGTTTGAAAGCACCATCAGGTAAAGGACAGCGC